CTATGGACTTATAAATTTTACTGAGATGCCTATGTTTACTTTCATTACTTGTATCAGTTACTAAAACATTTTGAGTTATTACGCTGAGAAATTCTATATTTAAGTAATAGAATATTGCATTCTCTACCATACTTTTCCATCCTAATACAAAAATGCACGTAGATATCATTCCCTGCTTACATACATAGAATAGATATTGGTATTCGCCTGGGGGTAAGTCTATAAAATCTACTATCTAGTTCTATGCAGTTCAGATTATTTGATCTACTTTTCTCAAGGGATTGAAATTTTTCTCATATTACAAATTTGAAAGTTTGTAAAGATGTTTACGAACAATCTGAATAAAATTTAGTATTCAGGTAGAACACATTTTAGATTTACATAAGTTATTATCCCAATTCATGCGAGCAAAACTGCGGAATGTAACTAGTAGGCGGCCAGTACAAAACAAACAAGAATATATCTTTGTAGAAAGAAAGGAGATATTCATGTTTGGACAGTGGGAAAATGTTGTTATTTCTGACAAAAATAATATTTGAGTTATTGTAGCTTCTGACGATAAAGTATGCGGTGCGGCCAGCTTCATATACACAAATATTTTATATTATGCGACTATGTAGAGTAAATCAAAATTATGAGCATCCTTTTAAGAAAGTGTCCTGTAGATGAAAGGACTGTATGTTGGTATGGAAACACGGTGTTTTTAGAAAGATAATATAATTATATAAAAAATATACAAAGCAAACCAACGGAGCAAAAAAGCGAACGACACAAAAACTGAAACGACACAGATTTCAAATTACAAACAAAAACTTCTTTTTAATAAAATTAAAAAGGAAACTAAAAAAGGTGCGTCGTGCACATGTCCTATCAGTTAAAGTGAATATTTTCCCTAAAAGAATGAAAAGCGACTAAAAATGGAGTCCTTGACATTAATTTGAAAGCTGGACGCGTAGTGTTAGCCTGAGAAGCTAAATATTTTTTGCCATTTTTGATCCGTGTTACATATAACATATTCATGGGTATAACACTTCCATAAAATTATAGTGAGCTCAATTGATGTTATTAATGATTCAAATTTTATAAAAACATGTAGTGTCTATATAGAATGGAATTGAATCATTAATAATATGAATCAAGTAAATATATAAATATATATATATTATGAAATGAAATTATAAACTTTAATATAATTGATTGACGGGTGTATTGAATATTGTATGTTATTGTTAAAATGTTAATGAATATAATGGAATAAATAAATGACTATATTAACATTGATATATTGAAATAACATAATAATATACTGTAAATAAAAATAGTATTAAAGACCCAATATTTACATGCCTATGTATAAAGAAGCATGTACTTGTACATTTATATGTAACACCTTGTGTCTTATGTTTCAAGTGAATATTAATTAAACGAATATACACAATTGCTACTACGATAGATACATAATAGTATCTACTAATACATTTTATTTGTCTTGTGACGGAGTAAGATTACGATCTGTCATCGCTCCTTTTCATTAAAAGGACGATGGAAAGGGAAAGACGAAAACAGTCAAGTCATATACATTATACCAGTTGAAGAGAAGGAAATCTCGCAATAAAATCCAATACCAAGTTGCCAAAAGGAGTTTCTCAATTCAGCTGGATTTTTGTTTGTGTATCTTACGAAATGTTTTCACCAATTTTGAATCAAACTTGAGGATTATTTTTGAAATCCATAGAGATTCCTCTTATGTTGGTCTCATATGGATTTTCTTAGGATTAAACTCGATGTTTCGGTTTCGGTGTAGTAACTCTTATATTCATGTCGAGTACACTGTACACAGATCGCCTTGCTTCCTCATAACTTTAGAAAATTCTATTCAATATCCAGAATAAACTTTAGGTATTTAAATGAGTAAGGCCCAAGACGCTTCGGTGTGATAGAAAATCAACCGTTCCGCCTGTTCAAATCGTTCCAAAGCTTATATCTCTGCCCATTTCAATTGCTAATATAAAGTTTTAGCTGGCACGGCTATATGATCCGGTTCACATAGCACTTTGATATGTAACAGACATTTACATAAGATGCTATATTGAAAAGGAAAGAACATCTATGATTTTTATTAGGTTCCTTTTATTTGACATGAATAGAAAATATATAATATAAACTAAGTTAGTAGTCGTGACTGTTGGCACTTGATGGCACTTGGCGAAAGTGCTTTAAATTTTAAGAAAAGTCAGGTATTTATTATAATAATATGTGTGAGAGAGGGGTTTTTAAACATTTTTTTGAAAAAAAAATTATAAAGATTATCGACTGTTGCCTTTCCCAAATGAAAGCAGAATTTTATAAATGCAATGATGACTTTGTGAGAATATAGAATACGAAATAGCATTAGTCATGAAGCAATATTATATTCAACATAATTAGAGTTAAGTATTCGAAAAAATGTGCTATGACTAGAGTAAGTAGTATCTGTTTCCGAGTATGACGGATGAGTCAACCACCTTTGTGTTCAACTACATTTTAGGTAGTTCAATAATCCGATTCATCACGCAGCTTTTTGTTGGATATTTTATTCAGTATTAGCTTCTACTCGCGACTATGTCCGTGCAACCGGAATACATTGACTGATTGGGATAGGAAGTAGCCTATATTCTTCTCCATCCCATATAGTACGTATATAAATTTCATAGTGTTTGGTGAAGCCGTTAGGACGTTAATAGGTAATAAACAAAGAAATTAACTTTCATATTTTAATATTAGTAAGGATATTTGATATACAGAAAATAATACACGATTGATTTAAATTATAAGAAATGTATTTATATTCCAACCCACGACCCTAAGAGAATGCTGCTCAATTTTATAAATATTTACTACCTATGTTTGGATTTTGAATTGAGTATTTATATTTTATTAAAAGAAACAAAACAAATAAACATAAACCACTTTATATGTTTATTTGTTTCGACTGATTTACTTACTAGTTCTTCCCAGCTCAATATGATTACAAAATTGGACGGAACAGTTAATAAAAGTGCCGTACAGTAGTGAGTAACGATATGTCCTATTATTTTGATATATTGATATTTTTTATTGTTGTATATTTACTGAATAGTGTGCCAATTGCCTATTGTACGCCTAATGTACTAGAAAATATATTGTTATAAAAGATATAATTATATTAATAACAAATTAGTTTTCTTTTTTATTGTAAGTAAAGGACAAAAGGAACGTTTGTATTTTTTTAATAACAACTTCTTTCTTTCTATAAATAATATGGCTTTTAATTACCATGAAAATTTTCATGAAAACATAACGAAACAAAAACGGATTTTCCTCCAGATAAACGTATTTTACATTCCCGTAAGACTTTTGTACTTCTCCATCATTATTACCTGTGCAATCTACTTTACGTATTACTTTATATTATAATTATGTTATAATGAACACACATATATATCACATATATCACATGTGCGTTATAATAAAGATGTAGATGTGACAAAGTCACATAAATCCGATAATAAAATAAGTTCTTTAGAATTTATATCATCACATAGCTTATACGACTAACGATCTCACAGTTACGAGAACATGCCATTTATAAAATCCATCAAGTTGTTCAAAATCCATGTAGTTTTAATGGATTAAGTCAGAATGGTATACTTGCCGATACTAATGGTAGGGGGGTATAAGTAGAGGATAAAATGATGAGGATACAGTCAGGTCAGTTAGCGTGTCGTGGCGAATTTACTTGGAGTTGACAACGGCGATTTTTAGAGAGACCATACATTGAAATCGACTTAATGTTATAAGACTATATTATACTGGTAGCAATGTTTTTTTTAATAAATGATAATGTAACCCGCTAGCGCTAATAATATACCCAGGTGGGGTAGACGTTACTATGTACTACGTTCTTTTCGTTATGTGGTCCCAGCACTGAATGTGTCACTTTTTCCATGGGTGTCTTAAGAGGCGCCGAAGGAAATTTAACTTGGAAATTGAGAAAAGATTGCCTGGAAGAGGTCGCTTTTAACGATAAGGTCGCCCATTGTTTTCTCATTGTGATTATTTCTTGTAATTATTTATATTTGTAATAAGTTTACTATTGTAATCTTTTGGAGGAAACAATAAAGAGTATTTATCTATCTATTGAACTTGGTTGAGAGATGAGCATCAGTGTATCTCTTAAAAAATTACCAAATATGTTACTGCGGTTGCCAATCAGCCTACTGAGAGTGGCAACTACTGGCAAAATCATCTAATATGGGGAGGTTTGTGTTCAGCAGTGGAAATATAATGGCTGGCATGATGACAATGACGTTCTTTTAACTAAGAGGAAGACTTTACATAACAGTCGTGTGCATGAGTACGAGTATGTTGTACCACTCGTGTTTTTGCTGATTACTACCTGACAAAGTGTCTAAAAAGGTTGCATAAAAAATCCCTTCTACGAACTCATAAATGGCTGAAAAATACTCCCAACACACGACAACCTTCTTTGTTCGAAAGTTGGGTGAAAAAATAAATGTTTTTTAATAATTTACCTTCTGTTGCTTGTTAGATTGACCCGGTAACGCCATTAAATATAAAAGTAATAAATTTTAAGGGTCATTGGTCTATTCAATTTTTTTCATAAGGGCGACTGAAAGGCGCTCAATTTTCAGGTCAACGGTTTTAAATGTTCACTTTCTTTTTAAAGCTAATTCGGATTAATTTGCCTTTAAAATGTAGGGACATTTACCTAGAATATATTAACATTACCTGCACCTTTGTACATATTATATTAATTAACAAGTATGTAAGTAAGGCGCATAACTAATATTTATTGTTCATTTTGTTACAAATTTTAATATGGCAATTAAGAAAAATCTTAAATTATTCATAATTTTTATAAGCTTTTCATTAATTAATTGTATATTATTATAATGATTTATTTATAAAAGTATATATTTACTCTTTTTAACTTTAGTAAATAAAATACAGGAACATACCATTTACTGTCTTCTGAAGAGAATTGCTCGTACATCTGGAAAAAATTAAAAACGAATATTAGAAAAAGAAAACAAATATATAATAATTATTGTAAATTTTACTAATTAAAATCACTATCACTATGTATAAATGATAGATATAAACTCGAACCATTCCATCATTTAAAAACAAAACTGATTTTATTAACAACATGGTGACTATCTTTCTCTTTACGGCCATTTAATTTAATTTAGTTAGTACAAGAAAAAAATATTTGAATAGAATTTACTTAAATTTAATTAATCATATATTTTAGGTTTAACAGTCGATTAGTAATGAGGAGTGGCGGGGAAGCACTAAATTAGTAGGCGGAGGCGTAATGGGGACATTAACAGCCAGGCTTTAATCAAGTAACATTAAGTTAGTACGGAACCTAAACATGGTATTATATGAAAAACAGTTTATAATAGCTCTAAGTATTTAAATGAGATGTGGGTAATATATTTTATATATTTGCTGCATAGAAGAATTTTAAATGAGCATGTTTAAAAAAAAAGTATATTTGAGACAATATGAGTAAAGTAAGTTCTTAGCGCCCTAACCAATTACCATAGAGGAGAAAGGGATTGCTAGTAATGGGGACTAATGGTCCCATTTATAGCAAGCCCTGTCAGGTCGACCTTCACGCGGTTCCCCCTGGAAACTATCGTGAATAATACTTGATGCGTTCGTTACGATGAGTTAACTGACCTGCTTTCATGCTTATCTATCATCTCTCACTGGTGTCCCGCCAGTGTATACCGATAACGCAGGCGGGGTTACCATTCCATTATCATCCATTAAAAAAATACTATGAAATTCGGTATACACGATTTTCATAGTGATTGGTTAATGCGCTAAGATATAACAAATGAAGAATTAAACAAACTTATTTTTATATTTATAATATTAGTAAGGATATCTGCAACTCTATCTATTGATGACAATGATGACAATGACAATTGATGGCGGTGAAAATTTTTGGTATATGGCTGTTCCTTTATAAGCTAGAAGGAGGAAAAATTACAAGAAAGATCTGCGACTGTCAGGAGGCATATGTGTAGCAATCGACAATAGCGACTGAAATTGTTCAAGTATATAATACAATATTAGCTGACAAAGTAGACTTGTTCATTGAATTTAAAAGATTGGCATCTTCTTTTATAAATGTAATTGAACTTATATATCGTTAAATAAAAGTTAAACTTGCGATAGATTGGTATTCAATACCAATCCATATTTAGATCTCTTACCACAAAAGCGTAAAGACTTATTAAAAATAAAATGATATATAGTACATTTTATTATGATAGTTTATAGATTTTCGCAAATAAAAATTACATCGAGTAAACAATATTTAAGCACTTAGTATTGTAAATTATTTCGTGGAAACACCGTTAATTTTTTACTATGCACCTGTTAATTCAAAATAATAGAAATGAATTAAGTATGGTAAAGTACTCTCGATTATAAAGCAACCAAAATAAAGCTCTTTCAAACAAAGGTTACATCAAGTTAGTTGCTCAAACCAAAACACCTTAATACCATTGTGCAGAAGTTTTACCACAAATCAGTTTTAATTAGAGGATACTTTTTGGTTAGTGTTTTCTTTACAAAGATCGAGTTCTTACCAGAGGGAGACTTTGTACAAAAGTCGATTGCTTGGGTACCTCTGTCCCATTCGTGTTTCTACCGTGAAGCAGTTGTGTTTGCATGGCTATGTTTTGGTTTGAAGGGTGGGAAATGGGTACTGCTCATGTCTATAGGCGATGGTTACCACTTTCCATCAGGTGGGCCGACAGCTTGTTTGCTATTCTAAATTGTATAAAAAAAATAGAGTTGGACGACTGACTTTTTAATACCACGACTAAAGCTTTTTCAATTAATATACCATACCTAATAGATTTCTGCCCGCTAGTTTGTATACGTGGATTTCTAAAGTAGGAAAACCAATTAAATATAGAGTATATCTTACGCACAACGGCCCAAATGAGAGGCTAAGTGCGGAAAACAGAGTCTTTCTTACATTAGAGTATATCTTATTGACGTATCACGATAAAACATACATCGGATTTTAAGTTAGACCTTTAGAAATACAATAATAGTGCAGTAGTTTTTGCGTGCCGGTATAATTCTGTCTGTAGGTAGACAGGCAAAATTTCTAAAAATGATTGTTTCCGCTTCTATTGGTCTTATTAAAACCTCTCTTATCATGATCATTTTCCAGGCCTTATTCCAATTATTTGGGGTCGACATCATATAATTTTATTCATATTCTATAATAACGATGCTGGTATCTACCGCCTACGGTATGGAGGAAAGAAATTTTAAAAAAAGGAGGGTACATTGGAGTAAGTAAAGGAAGGAAAAAACGGTATGAAGAACCCTCATATAACTTTTTCGTATAAATCTTCCATTTGCAGACATCATTTACTTACAATTATTATAACTGTTATATAAGATAATTTAAATATCGGGTTTAATAAATTCCTGTATTGTATTTAAATATTTCTGCAATATCACAATATTACCACGGCAACCTTAAAAGTAAGCCTTCTCTTAATCTCTTAATGATTCTATGTATGTTTATATTATAAAGAAGTAATGATGTAGACTGAGTTAATGATGGTGTAAGTTCAACAGCACATATTTCTAACTGTGTACAGATATGGATAAGGGAACAAAACTAAACTCGATAATGCTGTTTGAATTTGAAGTGTGGTATATGGTAGTACAATTTTAGGGTACGAACTTATAACATTTATGAAAAAATACGTGGAATTTGGTATTAAAAAGGATAGGATTTTTATCTGGATCATGCTAATGAAGTCATGCTAAGAGCTGGTTGATCATAGTTTTAATATACAAATAGGATACTTTTATCCTAATTTATGAGGAGGGGAAAAATCCATCAACTACTACTATTGTACTACACAATTTTACTCATAGAAGTGACTTTCTTGTACAGATAACTTATTCTGGTAGCTTCGTAACTTTATTCTTGTCGTATTTCTAGCAATATGACTTAACTTACATAAGCACTCTAAGTTAATGACGACCTATTTGTGTCTAACTTATGTGTCTGGTATATACCAGAGATGTACATACATCTGACAGACTGTAGACACATATACTTGTATGAGCTCAGAAAATGAGTTAGCAAATATAAATAACTAAGTGAATGAATATTTGACAATTTCTATCCCAATCCTGATGGTTGCATCTACGAAGAGATCTTTCTGGTTAATAATAATAACTTATAACTAAAACATTTATGCATAAACAGGTTTTTATGCTTACTTTATATTTAATGCATGCAGATGAAGTTCAGACATTATGACCACATTCTTATTTATATTCTATGGTTAATTGTTTACTTAATAAGAACAAATGTAAATATAAAATAGTAATATTTTCTTCTATCTTCATTGGTCACAGGTTCCGTTCCCGCATGTACCAACATTTCTGTTCATAAGTATATTTGTTTATTTTGTATGAATATTAAGTATTACACTTATAAATCAATGTATATAAGTATGTTTTTTATAAATTATTTATAATTCATAATATAAGCTCTACTTAGTTTAAGAATCTGTAAATATCCAGTGACAATTATTATTTAATTTTATTATATTTTATTATCTATTACAACCAAAGTAAACCACAGAATATCCTTGAAAAACAAAATGGATTACAAACTTTTAACCGGAAATTTACCATGGAAACGAGTTAAATAAAAACTGATAAAAACACCGATTTTCGTTTCCGTATCTCGCCAAACAATCTCGTCTCTCGTGAAAACAATTTGGCCATCAATCAAGCAATGTAATTGCGCCCGTTATTAGGCCAGCCCAACTGGCAGTCTATCGTTTTATTGGATTGTCAGTATATTGATGCCCAGACATAGATGGAGTTAGATAACGCTAGTAGCTTTATTATTTATTTGCTATTTTTTCCGACTTTGCCCACGTCAATCACTATATCCTATGTATCATGTTAGGGTATAAACTACCCGTGTGCTCAATTTAATTAAAATTTGTTTATCAGTTAGCTATGATTACTCAATGTTAATTTGTAACACATTGTTAGTTCAGACGCAGTGAAATTTTGAGCAGAGTTATTTCCATAGTCCGCCGAGCAACTTTCTTAATATAATTCATCCTTATTAGATCCTTTTAAAAATATAATTTATTGCTTTTTTTGTCAATTTTCTTAATTTTTTTTGAAATATCACGTAGAAACTATGAACCGAAATTGAGCTGGACTCTTAATATTCTTTAAGCTTACTTAAGAGTAGAGGCATAAATTGTAATGTATAAAATAATTGTTTATTTTACTCTATAGATACTTCTCGGGTTTCTTAGTATTTTCAGGGCGAATTGAAAATCTCCTCAAGAGATAAGTCCGCTTGTACTTTGTCGTTTTCTCTATAATCTGATATTTGTGTCAAATATAAATGTAAAATAAAGCTTATACAAACAAACACTTGCGATATCTATTTAAATGCATGTCTATGTTGGACGCCGTGTACGAGTAGATAGATGGACCATTAGTATGTTATGTATTACCTGACAGACGTGTTACGTCGGCTGTTTGGTATTGGGGTATAGTGATTAGGGTGCGTTATTTATTCATTGAAAGAATAATTAACTACACGACCAACGATTTATTGACAAAAACTTTGTGTGTTTATTTATTTATGTGACAGGATAATCAAAGTTGATTCGTAAAATGTAGCGATTCGTATTATAATATATAGAACATTAGGATTAGGTTTTCTGTGTATCCTATACATATTTTGTCCGTGATAGTTAGAGGATGTGGGCGGTTAAACATTGGTAAGAAGTTGTGTGAGTTTGGCAGTAAATTTACAGGGTACAAAGGAATAATACTTGAGTCCTCAGGAATGGCATCGCAATGGTATCATGGGTAAAACAGTATATTCTTTTATGTCCATGGTAGTACTCATGTCTATAGGCAACGGTTACTACTTTCCATCAGGTGAGCCCTCAGCTT